TTAGCAGTTTTTTTAGTAATATATGGGTTTGGAAGTTCAAAGATGGGTTTGGGTAGTGTATGGATATTTACTTCCATAATCTAAATTTGTATGAGTTGGGTATGGATACCCATTTATTCGAGAGTGCTTTAATTACAAATACAAAAGTTAGACCAATTTGTAGAAAAGTTTAGGTACCAAAATGTAATACACATAAATTTTAGGTACTAAAATGTAATGTTCCAATACATTTTGAGGAATTATATTCCAAAAAATAAATTTAGGTTATAAATCTAAATATTTATTAAGTTTAGGTACCGAACTGTAATTTGCATAGTTGAGACTTAATTCCTTTTATGGTAATGTATTTAAGATGATAATTATTTACCTTTTTAATAGGAAAAATGGAAACTATTATTTGATATGTGTAGATACATAGCCAAACATTCTATGTATAATTGTTGAAAATTATAGCCCAGGTGAAAAAGAAAAACTCTAGAGAGAAGCAAAAGGAATACAAACTGGAACGCACTTAAAATTTCACGCCTTAAAATCCTATAGTGGAAAATGATGACTTTCTAATAAGTAATAACCATATATATTTATTTTTAATTAGACTCGCCATTGAGCTGAAAAGTTAGTGGTTCATTGTTCAATTATTAATTCGCTAGACTGTTGATGAGTCGTGTATGGACCCATTCATACTTGTGATTAGAATACATAAAAATAGTACACTAATTAGGGTTAGACGAAGAAGGAAAATAAAGAAATAAAGAAAGGTTATGGAAGACGAGTGAAAAATGAAATGAAGATGAAGTAGATGATTGAATGTTTTAATCAATGCTTTTAGTTGGTCGTCAATACAACAGTCAACCATTTTAGATAACGCAGATTTTGTTACATATAGCTAGTGGAAGTTTGTTTAGTACCACGTAAATATACCAAATGAGTTTATAAGTTCGCTCTTGTAATATTTTAGATTCGTCTCTTTTTTTATTATTATTTTTTTTTTTTGACAAAATGTTTTATTATTTATTTAATGTTTCACGTTATGAGCAAGTATAAAATGGCCGAATCTTCTCTTATAGTTGAGTGATACAACATCTTGTATTGTACTGACTAAATTTATTCTTTTATGTTATGATGGATTGGATTCATGGATTGGTTCAAAAGAATTGGTGGATTGGATTCATGGATTCAAGTGAAATCTAAACATTGGACCAATATATGAATTTAAAAAATTGTAGGTACAAAAATCTCATATAATTTAGATACCAAAACATAATTGTTCAATGATTTACATTAAATTAATTTGGGGTATCAAAATGTAAAATATACATTATAGTGACTAAGTTGTGATTTAATTAAATTTGGGGTATTAGGTACGAAAATTTCATAAAATTTAAATACCAAACATAATTGTTCAATGATTTTACATTAAAATTAAATTTGGGCTATCTAAATATAAAATGTACATTATGGTGCCTAAGTTGTGATTTAATTAAATTTGGAATATAAAAATGTAAATAGTTATGCAACAGTAACGCAATATCAAAATGTAAAATGTAAATTATAGTGACTAAGTTGTGATTTAAATAAATTTGGGGTATTAGGTACGAAAATCTTTGATGTAAAATGTACATTATAGTGACTAAGTTGTGATTTAATTAAATTTGGGGTATTAGGTACAAAAATCTTATAAAATTTAGATAACAAACATAATTGTTAAATGATTTTACATTAAAAGTAAATTTGGGGTATCTGAATGTAAAATATACATTATAATGATTAAGTTGTAATTTAATTAAATTTGGGATATAAAAATGTAAATAGTTATGCAACAGTAACACAAGTTCAGGTTTATATATATATAATTGTTTCATTTATCTTTTAGTCTGTAATTGAACCATATGAATCTCAATGTTCAATAATTAGTCAAACATGATACATTCATGAAGAGCACGTTAAATCTTTAATGGATTTCAATAATGTGATCCACTCAATTATTACAGGTCAAAAATTATGAATTTTTTATTTATGTTTTAGAATCTCATTTATTGCTATTTTAAATTTATGTTAATCTTAGATTTTGCAGGATGCTATAGCAATTTCTCATATCGATGATCCAAAATAGTGACAATGTATAATTTTCAATTGCAATGAAATATTATCTACTTTTCATTCATGCATATGGATATGGTTTACCAATATCTTTTTTACCAGAATACTTATAATCAATTCTTTGGGGAAACTATATGTTAAGAATTGACTGCAAGTTCTGTTTTCACTTTTCTCATGAATATATAGACCGCTTGTTACTCTATACCAATGAAAACAAATTGATTTTATTAAAAGTTAGAAAATGCGATTACAAGACAGATAGGGAAGAAAGTAAAACAAATTGTTTTGTGGCTTATAATTAATTAAAAGGTTTCTGCTACGGCAATTCAAACTTAGACGTGAGGTGGATATTCTTTACTCACGAGGGAAGATTCCGAGCTAGATGGGTATGACCATTCACCCGTCCATGTTTTAAAGGTTGAGTACATATCTCCCCTATTCAAATACCAGCAAGCTAGTGGGAGTGGATAAAGTGCTAACACATTTAAGTGTTAGCATTATACTAACACATTTATTAGGGGTATTATAATATTTTAATCTTTTTTTTTCCTTCTTCCCCTTCCCTTCTCCTTAAGGATGGCAATGGGTCGGGTTAGGTCGGGTTTTGTCAAATCCAAACTCAAACTCATGGATTTATCCGTGAAAAAAAATATGATAAAACCCACCAGGTTTGAAAAACTCAAACCCAACCCGCCGGGTATCCATAGGTTCATGGGTACCCATGGATTTTTGTCATAAAAAATTTACAATAACAAGTTCCTATCAAAATAAAAAACAAATATCAATCTCTTCGGACAAATTATCCATCTATAAAACACCATTCTAGAAAATTCAAACAAATCAAAAACTAATCATGCAAATTGTTCAGCACCAATTTAGAAAACTCAACAAAATTGAAGCAAATCACAAACTATACATAAACAACATGATTAATTGAAAGCTTCTTCCTACTTGTCAATTAAGCTTCTTCACTTTCCACTCGACAATATCAAATTCATTCTACACAATTAGAAAGAAAAAATTAGACATGTCTCCACAAACATAAAGAAGATTAGTTGCTTAGAATATTAAATACACCGAGAAAATTAATTATATGGGTATGGGCGGGTATACCTAAAACCAAACACAACCCGATGAATAGTGAACGGGTTTAAACCCGAACCCAGCAAAAACCCATCAATATGGGTTTTACTCGCGTTGACCAGATTGGGTCGGCTAGGGTATCTACGAGTTCGGGTTTTGTTGCCATTCTCCTCCCCTTCCATTCACGTTACTTTTCCATGTTTTATTGACAAATTACGATTTTGGTACACTTTGGTACCTAAACTTTTTCAAATTTACAAACAGATCCACTACTTGTGGCCTGCTTTATAAACTTGTGACATGCTTTGTGGACTTGTGGCACTGTGGTTGGGGCATGCTTGAGGAGGTAGTGCCATTCTTGAGGAAGTTGTGGCATACTTTGAAAAGGTTGTGGCCTGCTTTGGAGGTTGTGACATGCTTGAAAGAGGTTTTGGCATGCTTCGTGTGCCTCTCTCTTCCTTCTTCCCCTTCTCCAATTTTTCACAATACCAAGCATGTCCCTTCATCCCTTCCCCCTCATTAATTGTGGTCAACTCATTTAAATAAATAAAAAATAATCAAAACGAAAGGTTTTAATTGGCTAAAACTAGTATTAGCACTATACTAACAAAAAAAGGGTTAGCACCCTAACCAGTAAGCAGGCTGGACGCATTTGCTGCAACCTAGTTTGGAGCTAAAAATTGCGCTAAAAACTGCTCAATTTGTAATATAGTTGTCTTGATAAATAAATGGGTTAATATATTTGTATGGCCTGAACTTAGCACATAATAAACAAACTGGCCAATCTTTTTTATCTATAACATCCTGGCCCAAACTATACATCAAAATAATGAAATTGGCCAAACTCGATATTTGATCGTTATCTTGGACGATCAAACGCGTTGACTAACGGTCAACGTGCCATGTCACTGCCAAGTGAGCAACTTTCACTTAATTTTTTTTATATTCTCCATATATTACCATTTTTATTTTTCATTTTCAACTAAAAGAAGAAGAAAAATTAATTTCATTTTGAACCAAGAAAAAGAAAATGGTAATAGCTGGAAAATATTAAAAATTTAAGTGAAAGTTGCTGACTTGACAGTGACGTGGCGTGTTTACTGTTAGTTAACGCGTTTGACCATCCAAGATAACGGTCAAACATCGGCTTTGGCCAATTTCGTTACTTTGATGTAGGGTGGGCATTCGGTCGGTTCGGTTTCGACCGAACCGAAATTATGAATACCAGGTTCCCAAATACTCCCAAACCTCAAACCGAATTCAAACCGAATTATAATTTGGTTCGATCGGTTTAAACCAAATTATAATTCAGTTCGGTTCGATTTTGCACACAAAACCGAATTTGTGAGGCTACTTGTATCTTCTCGCTTTTAAATTATTTTTCTCCCCTAATAGAAATAATAAATATGCAATTATATGCATCATCAATGATAAAATCAAACTTTTCAACACATAAGTCATAAAACATTACAAATATTTAAGTCTAAAAACAATTACAAACATAAAAATCCACCATTTGGAGGTTGCAATTATAGTATTTTGGTTTTTCGGTCAAAAATTCGAAAATTTGGTTCGATCGAAAGAACCCTGATTTTCGAAATATCCATATTTTCCTTCCGAATTCCTAACCGAATAGCATTATTTCGGTTTCGACTATGTTCGAGCTTACCGAACCGTTTGCCCACCCTTATTTTGATGTATTATGTATAGTTTGAGTCAGGATGGCATGGATCAAAAGAATGGACATAATGTTTATTATATACAAAGTCAAATCATACAAATATATTAACAGTATATAAATTTAGAGAATGAATTATATCGCTTTGTAATTAGCAACAATAAAATTGATATATCTTGCATTGTTTGGTAGCTCATTGAGATGACGACATGAAGAGTGCGGAATTTTGAATTTCATTTTTCTAATTGGCTACATTTGTCCTTCCAGTCGGTTAAATCTATGAAAGAAATTAGATTCTTTAGTAAAGTGGCTAATGCACAACAAACACAGTTCATGAAACCAACACTGGCGTTCTGAACACATCAACCAAAATAACCAAGATACGAAGGCACAGCAAAATTCAACGCATTTGTGAAGCTGAGGGATAAAGTTCTACTAGATAAAGATAACTTCAGTCACAAATCACAACGGCATAATGGGAGGGAAACAACCAAAAAGACTCCACAAAAGAATGCATAAATATCGCATTCTTCAAAGACCATCCATCCCAAACAGATGATTCAGATTTCAGACAGACACTATAAAGTGATGTATATTCATCATCAACCGCACAAGACCAACGACGAACTCTTGCACAATATAACTGCAGACACAGAGTTTTTGACTAGCAATGACTTCGATCCAACGTTGCCTAGGCAAACCAGACCAGTAGAAACACACAGAGAACCCAACCACCACCATTCCAGACTTGGAAAATATGAACCTGGACTTCTTCCCAAGACAGACTCAAAACAAACCAGTTCAAATTGCCCTAGCTTTGCAGTATTTTAGTGTTCCCAAAACCTATGACCAACTAGGCGATCCATCACACACACACCACAGGTCTTTCATTCTTGCTTCCCCTCTTTCTGTGCCTACGCATATATTACCAACTGAAGCTGGTCAAAGACTTCCAAAAACCACAAACATACCCCAAAGCTTTCTTTCCCCCCTCCACCTGTAGGTTTCAAGCTGATGAAGCTGGTTCAGCAACCTTCTTTTCTGTCTCCGCCTTTTCCTTCTTGTCATTAACAGATGCATCACCGCTGGCCTCCTTTGCACTGCCCTCAGTCTTATCCTCATCAACACTCAACTTGTCAAGAAGCTTGGCAGTCTCTGAAGCATCTTTACTTTCTTCCTTGCTCTGACTTTCAGCCACCTCCTGAACATTCTCCATGAAGGTTTTGCAGTCTATACCAGAACAAAAACACATTAGCTCCGCATACAATGTCAGCACTTATAAATTTGTTAAAATAAATCTAGCAAATTAGACAACAAAAAAATGGTATAGCAAAATTTGGAGTGTCCAGTACACATCTTGTGGTCCTTTATCACACTTCCACAACAACCGGGCACCCATTTAACCTCACCTCAGTTTAATACCCCTATCAGACAACTAAGAGGTGTCCAGAATGTGTTGGACATAGCTTCTATAAGTGCTGACTCTATCAATTAAACAAAATCAACAATATCCTGCACTCACTGTATTCATCAAAGAGAATGGGGTAAAACAATATCCTGCACTGCAAGGGATAATCAAAGCATGGACAAACCCACTATTAGATTGGGTTCAAACTTTCAGGATTACTTACTATTAGTAAGCAAACTAGCAGGCAGAAAAATGTCATCTTTACTCAAGCGAAGATGCTAGAAGCAAGCACAATTTCATGAATAACCTAGTGGTATAAAGCATTTTACTGCTTTATTGAAATCACAGCTTCCTGCCTTTTCAACTTAAGGATCAACATTTCGGTACTTATGCTGGACAGAACGAAAATATAAAAACTACAATACATACACATAAGCTTTAGAATGTAGAATAAGCTGTAGACATCAGCTCACAGTTTTGACTTTATCTAGCAGAACCAAATGATGCCCTGTAGCTTGAGAAGACAAATAACAAGAATGGCAAAGACTGTCGCTTGTTGTTATAGATACAACACCCAGGCTATCAAAACACGACGAGCAGATAATGTTCCTCAATGACCACGAATGAAAAGTGCGATATTGGAAGGCTCTCTAAACACAAATACGACAATTCCATACTTCGAATTTGCTATTGTCAGAGAGTTCCACAGTTTTCAAGTCCAATTGTATCGTTAGAAGAAGCCTCCAACGAACTGCTCACAAACACGCAGGAAAAGGGCAAAAACCGAAGAAACCTTAATAGAAACATACTCTCAACAGAAGCAAATCGGATGCAGAAGAGCTCATCCTTCAACTCCTCATCAGCAAAATCAGTAGCATGCCATATGCACGATTTATCATTTCCAGGGTGCTCTTGCACTTTCGTTCCCGCAATAACTGTACTACGAGCAAACAAACAGTTAGATCGATGTCATTATCTTCTTATCCACTTGATAAATCACAAAAAGAAAATATAACAGATCACTTTTCATCTATCAACTCTAATGGGAATGAATGAATCGCAGAGAATGAAAGCAGACCTAGATGGTTAGCACAGATCTTGAGTGTCCTAGATTGGCGAAAGACGAGGCGAACTTTGCCAGTGTCCTTATGCTTCAAAAGCTTCACCGTTCCAGTTCCTCTCTCTTTCCACTGGTTGCTATCCTTGTCAAACCTATAAAGTTTCGATTTTCTGTTCAAAAGCACCAGTCGATCGCAAACCAAACGAGCCAAAAAGACAAAGGAAAATGTTATCAGCAAGCGCTAAACACGAACGCATAAGAGACTAGGGAAGAACAACGGAGAGCAGATGGATCAGAATCCCGTACAGATCGATGATAGCATCCTCATCCTCCTCGCCGGTGGTCACAGCGACCTCTTCGAGCTTCACGATGGGAGCGACCTGAGCTCCGGTGTCCTCGTCGTCAGCAGCGGGCGAATTCTCTTCTTCGTCATCCCGCTCCTTCTTGGTGTGCTCTGGATCGAAGGCCGAGGGAGTAGAACTGGCCATGTCTGCTATGGGAGCAGCCGCACAAGGCAGGAAGAAAAATTAAGGGGGAGAAACGAAGGAAGCGGAAAGTTAGTTTTAGGGCGCAGTGTTCGCAAGACGGAATGTGGCTGCCGCCTGGTGTCGATATTTATACGGAGCGGAAACGCGGAATTCAGTGTGGGCCGTGTACCGTGTCGTCAAGGAACGGGCTGATCACGGGATATGGCTTTTACAGAGAAGATTTTTAGTTTTGGGGTTTCCGGCCCAAAAATAAAATTAGTATTCGGTAGAAGCAAACATTTTTTTCACCGAATATAACGATTTTTTTCATAAAAATTTTTTCTCCTACATAACCTATCTGCTAGGGGTTGGGTCGGGCATATCTATTAATATTATATTTATATGTTAAATATAAAATATGATAGAGAAAAATAATGATTATTTCTAGACAAAATACATATGCATGTGTATAATTAGGCGGGTTCGGGATGGATAGTGAGAAACCATGCCCACCCATTACCCGTAATATTCGGGTTCGGGTTTTATTCGTACTCGCTAAAAGTCCTTCGGGTTTGAGTTTTATCCTACCCAATTAGGTCGGATTCGGGAGTATATCCATAGTTACAGATATTTTTGTCATCCCTAACATCTGCGATTGGATAGAGTGCTAACACCTCAATTCTATAGTATACTGTGGTAGCGCCGGGTCACAAGCCAATAGCTTTTTAGTAGCGATTAGCAGACTTTCGATGAAGCTTCTCCCATGCAATCGATGTTAACAAAGATCTCACATATGATATGTTAATCCTAGCCTATTTAAATTAAATCAACAGCGGAACACTAACCAAATCAGTTTATGATAGGGAGCATAGTCAAGTATAACCAAATATGGGCCCTTAGTTTTGAGTGTGGCTAGAGGAATCCATAGTTTTTTTAATCGACTCTTATCTTTTTCGTTCTAAATTACATTTCATATATTTTTGCATAGATGGAACGAGTTCGTTGTGATCTACTAAATGAGATATATTTTTAATAAACTTCGATAAAAAATTCACATCACTCGTCACCACCTTCGTTTTTAACTCAGATTTTGTATTTTTTTTTTGCACGGATGGAACGAGTTCATCGTGATTTATTGCATCTACAAAATTCTGAAAAAATAAAAGACCAAAATATACCACTCCATACTACCTTGGTATAAGGATAAGATAGAGATGGTAACTTGTGGAAACACTAAACAATGATAAGTGTGGTAAATGACAGTTTGTATATTCCTACTATCATGTTTTCAAGCATTATATACTCTCACCACCATGGTACACTTACATACCACATGGTATGAACTTATGTAATACCAAACATCACCACCATGGTATAGGATGGTAATAAATGTCTAAATTTTTTGTTCCAAAATATATAAAAGTGGATATTATTTTGAAAAGCACAATAAACTGATTTATGTGTGCACAACAAATTAAATTATGACTTAAAATGAAATAGATATAGCCCATTAAAATTTATAGAGAAAAAGGTTAGAGACCTTCCATAAATGATAAGGTGGCAGTGATGTGACATGTTATACATAATTATACACCCTTAAGTTACAAGGGATCCCCCTCCCGTTAGCATCATATTAGTACTTTACTAAGAGTATTATAGTAATTAACATTATAAAACTTCCTCCTTCCCCTTCCCGACTGAAATAGAACTTCCATATGTTCCCTCACCTTTCTATCGTCTCTCTCAATATGACTACCGGTTTTGCTCAAATTTTTGCTACGATGCTGCTACTCCTTTCCGCCACAGTCACCGCTGCGGTTGCTCCATCCACACCATTGCCTGAAGATTGCATCACCGACCTAGTGGCTTTCTTGTCGTGTTTCAGCTATGTTCCATGCTGCCAAGCACAGTTTGTCAGCATCCCTCACATGGGTGCCCAACGACGTCTAGGAGTCGTTTGGTACCGGCGGAAACAATTGCTACTGTCACCTGGCGAAGCATTCACAAATGTTCAGGTTTTGTTGAACCAAACTAAGATCATTTATCTCCATGCTCTTTGCCTCCTGCTCCAAAGGTCGCTTGAACGTGAGCTCCGCCGCGACCGCAAAATATGTCACGTGCACTTTTGCACGAATGAGATTTAGGTAGAAAGATCAGAATAGGAAGAAAAAGAATGAAGAAAATATTGATAGATTTATAGAAGTGAAGATATTCTCTTTAATGGCGAGAACAAATCCCTATATTCTCCTTAATGTTGAGAATAGAACCCTAACATTTTTCGAGAAAAGTCAATCTCCATAAAGACTCTCGTCTTTTACATTTTTATTCTCCGCCTTCCTCAATCTTAACCACATTCTTAAATACTAAATACTATAGCTAATCTAATATGATAGTGAAACTACCTGGAACCTATTGTTGTTGATGATGTCTCGTAGTGATCTCCTTTGATGGCAAGAATTTTCTAAAATCTAGAACAAGTCAGTCATCATCATTGGTTGTGGTTGCAGAACATTTGGGAAACATAGCATGAGAAACCGAGCATATAGGAAACCCTGTGAGACTTGAGCATGATCATTTCTTTCTTGTGTGATATATCTCTATGTGCATGGTGATATGTTTGATTTATACATATTTGAGTCGAGATACCACTGATAAGGACGATAGAGGCAATAGGCGTACGTCTAAAGCCAAATTACTACCCTAAACACCATATCCCCTAGTCAAACCCTGTTGAGACGAGCCTATTTGTTCGGTGACGACCTATTTTAAAACCAACTATCTGCTCTTCAAACTCCAATTTTTTTAGAGAGCTTTTGCAAAGATTCCGTTTGATTGGTTTAAACAAATGACTTTCTTCTTAAATTCAAACAACAATTGAGTTAGGGAGAAACTACTTCTTCAAGTGCAAAAATCAAAATTTTGGCCATTTCATTCAAAAGAAAATCCAAGTAAGATCTATTTGCTCGATCTCTCATGCTATGCTTGAACAATTGAATATGATGAAAGACTAATCATTATTCTAGACTGTTTTATTAATTAGAGTCAGAGTATCCCATGTCAGATGAGTATAATGATCAAATATCATTTGTGGTGGTTAAAAGCATCCATATCACGCTACCTATTGCATAATCTTTAGCATTCATATGAAATTCACTTTTTCCTAACTTTCATTTGAAGTTCTTGTGGAAATTGGTTTTGATTGAACTTAGATTTTTTGGGCTTTGCTTGAGGGCAAGCAAGGATTAAGTCTGGGGAAATTTGATAACACCTAAAATATACATGTTTTCACCAACACTTTTATATCCTAAAATGACCAAGATAAGTTCAATCGATTTTCCAGTTTTACGCTTAGTTTTTTGTTCGAGTGATGTTTCAGGGTATTCTATCCAAAAGAAGCAAAGGATTGAGGAACAAGGAGGCAGAAAGCAAAAAGATGATTAAGGTTTGAATTCTGTCGTCAATGGAACTCGAGCTTGCGACGTCCTAGGCGAGGGCAAAGAGTCGTACCACTCCGCGTCCCCTTTTGGTGTCAATATACGAAACCCATAATGTATTATGGTGATGAATTGCGGAGAGAGAGGTAATTGACAATGCAGAGTCAACATGTCAAACCTCAAACTGCAGAGTCAACATGACCCCTGCTAAAATAAGGAAAAGTTGTCCAAAGGGCCAATGTGGGCATCAACATGGCCATGTTAACAGACCAAGTGAACATCCACATGACAACACACCATGCAACATGGCCACGTTGAAGACCACGTCAACAAAAGTCAATGAGCTGTCAAAAAAACAATGTGGGCAGCAACATGGTCATGTCCGAGAGCACGTCAACATTAACACACCCATCAACATGGCCATGTCGAAGACCACGTCAACAAAAGTCATGGAGTTTTCAGAAGGTCAACGTGGGTAGCAACATGGTTATATCAAAGACAACGCCATCACGAATAAACCCTTCATCATGGCCATGTTGAGACCATGCCAAGAGCATTCAAGGAGCTATCAAAGGGACAACGTGGGAAGTAACACTACCATGTTGAAGAGCACATCAAGAGCAGTCAAGGAGCTATCCAATGTAAACATGGGCAACAACATGACCATGTGAAAGACCACTTCAACATGAACACACCCTTCAACACGGCCATGTTGATGACCACGTCAAGAGAATTCAAGGAGCTGTCAAAGGGTCAACGTAGGAGTCAACATGACCATGTTCCTGGCAGTGTTGACTATCAAAATCATATTTCACTTTCATTTCGACACAAAGATCACATTTATGACATTTTCGATCGTTGGATCTAACACGGCCTGGAAACACAGTCTTTTTGGTTGGGCACGTCGACCTTTTATGCACGTTTTAAAAAGAGCAATCAATAGTTTCATCCACATACTAGTCAACACGGCCTGGAACACGATCGTGCTCACTGACCACATTGAGTACTCTGCAACGCCGATACATCGATCTGGCGACCAGCTGTGAACACCGCCCGTGTTGCTAAACCACGTTAGATGTACTGCTTCCTATAAATAGAAGCTTGCAAGAGAAGAAGAGGGAGTTGGAAAAATACCTTCACTATAGCCTAGAAACCAACCCAAATTCTGTCTTCCTTTCTTGTATTTCATATTAAAGTGTTGTTTTCATTTCCACTCAAAGCTTTCATTGTTTTCATTTCCACTCAAAACTTTCATATTAAAGTGTTCTTCCGTCGTGTTCTTCGTGTTCATGTTCAAAGTTGGGAATACCATAATATATTGCGTTATTAAGATTACCAAAGCGAGTATCCTATTTGTGGGATTTTGATAATCGTTTGTGGAGGTAGATTGGTCGGTTTCACGGTCTTCGCCCACGATTGTTCCCATGTTGGAAACTTGCTAGGCGTAGTCTGATAACCCAATATATATACCCTATTCTCATCTCCTTGTCATGACCATTGTGTCGGCGTTCTCATATCTTTCATCCTTCGTCATCATCATCATGGTAAATATCTGCACCTCCATCTTACTAAACCTCATCATGTTCGACTAATCTCCTAGTTGTAACGGACTTGATGAACCCTAATATGCTTTGTATGGATTAAGTGGTATCTTTTGACATAAACGTGTTGTTCTCGTCTTACGATCTTTTCTCGACTTATAA